CAGGTGGCTGTGAGTTCTAGTCCTGCCTCAGTCATGAAAAGCCAGCTGGGTGACTTTGGTCCAGCCATTCTCTCTCACTCCAACCTACCTGTTGTGAGGAAAATAAGAATAGGAAAGGAGAAGTGTTTGCCACCTTGAGTTACCTATTAAGTCATAAAAGCAAGATTAAAAATCAAACAAGCAACAGTAAAAGCCCTTAGCCCATTCAGAGCCGCAGGCCTGGGCAAAGCGCCCAGTTTTGAAAGCTTTAAATGGTCTCTCTTCTACCATTTCACCTTTTTTTTCTCTCTCTCTCTCTCTTCCTTTCCTTCCTTTTCTCCCTCTGCAGCGGGAACGTGATCATAGAAACCAAGTTTTACGACGACAACCTCCTTGTCAGCACTTCCAAAGTAAGACTGTTCTACGTTTGAGAGGAGGCCGGGGCAGGGCTCGGGCCTGGCTTTAGTTCCTCCCTTCACCCGATTTTCCCCCCCTTCCCCTCCTCCGGGGGGTGGCCGAATCCCCAATCCCTCCCCACAAGGCATCCAGTGACGGAAGACGTTGCATCAGGAGGTCTGGAGCATGGCGAGACTCGAGCCCTTGGCCCGTCCTTCTCTTGCCCTCCTGCCCGGGACAAGGCCACGCTCGCAACACCTGGTAGCCATCTTCTCGGATGTTGGAAAAGGGGACCTTTTTCGGGGCGGGCAAGAAGGACCAAGATTGTAAACGGGACTCTAAAGGGTTGGGTTGCTTGTTTGGTTTTTTTTTTTAGATCTTTCTACGTCTCCATCCTTTAGTCGCCTTCTTGGCAGGCTGGCTGTCATCTCAGTTTCTCCATTGTCTCTTTATATTTGTTTTAAGTTTCACCTGTTCGGCCCCTCCCTCTCCCTCTCCCTCTCTCTCTCTCTCTCGTTCTCCCTCTCTTTCTCTCTCTCTCTTTCTCCCTCTCTTTCTCTCTTTCTCTCCCTCCCTCTCTTTTTCTCCACCTCCATTTTTAAATTCCGACTCTCCTCTCCGTTTAAACTGATCCAGACTCATTTCTTCCACCGTCCGTCCCCCCGTCCCCTCCGGTTCCTTGAACTTGTAAAATAGACTGCAATATTCTTACATAATGTAATTAAATAAATAAATAAATAAATTTATGATTGAAAAGTTCCTGGCTTTCCGCTTGGCGTTTACTTCCAGGGGTGGGTTTCTCCGGGGCCATGAAAAATAAAAAGCCCCAAACGATCTGAACTTGCCTTCCTCCTGGCGTTGCCTTCCAGATGTTCCGGATTCCTGGACAGAAATGCAACGAGGAAATTTTGCCAGCAGGCGTTCCCAGCAGGGCCCAAGGTTGATCTGTTTATTTCCAAGAACTAGGGATGATAGGATAGCAGTCTTCCCGATATTTCCCCAAGCCCCAGAATGCAGGACAAGAAGAAACAGATGGAAATTAATCAAGGAGAGAAGCAACCTGGGGTTAGAGGAGAAACTTCCTTAGCGGTGAGAACGATTAATGGAACGGCTTAACGCCAGAACTTGCGGATGCTCCGTCACTGGAGGTTTTTAAGAAAAGATTGGACATCCACTCGTCCGGAACGGTATAAGGCCGTGATGATGAACCTATGGCACATGTGCCAGAAGTAGCATGCAGCGCCATCTCTCCGGGCACGCCGGCTGTCGGCCATTGCTCTTCCGGGTTCCCGCATGCCGGCCAGCTAGACTTCACATGTGCATGATGTTCCGGTTCCCAGAAGGCGCCGGCCACCTGGTCTTTCTGGAGCACGTGCATGCGCAAAGACTCACTGGCCCAGTGCACATGCGTGCCAGAAACCAGAAGATAATCATCCCAGCAGAGCTGCCGGCCAGACGCTCCGGACCTTGGACCATCCTGACCATCCATTTGTGCTCACATTTAACACATTCACACACTTACAGACTCAGTAGTGAATCGGGCTTGAATTTTAGCAGGCAGGAGTGAAACCATCCTTCTCCCGCTGTCGGGCTACAGTTCCTTTGGCTCTTATTACACCTAAAGGGGTAAAGGAGTCTGTGCAGATTTTACTCTGCTAAACCTTTGCCAGTTCTAGGGGCCAGTGCCCGTTTCTGTTTCAAGGCCGTTGAACCAGCTCTGTCCAAAGACATTTCTGAGGTCAGGTGACCAGCATGATGTCACAGAGGGCTGTTACCTTCCCACCAAAGGGGTTGTGATGACCCTAGGCGTGGCACAAAAATAACCAAGTCCTAAAAATAGAAGAAATTCCCTTTAATGCCTCCAACGTGGCCCCAATCTCCGATTATCCTTAGCAGGATACCAAACTCTTAAAAGAAAAAAGTTTACGGAGGGAGTAAATGCAGTCCGCACCCAAAGTAAAGTTTATTCGAATTAAAAAAACCAACACAAGCCACACTGTAGGAATTAGTAGACAAGAATGCATGCTTTGCTTCCAGCACCTTTGCCATGCACAGTTTGTCCAGTCCTCCCAACTGCAGCCCATGAAGGGGATCAGGGCCCCTTCCTCCCCCGTAGATCATGCCACTCACTTTTCTCCCTTATCCGCTCCTCCCTGAGTGCCCTAGGATGAAGAGGGGATGGGCCTGGGTCCCCCTCTGAATGCCCATCCGGCCTGTGCCCTCCCCCGGTTTCCTCCACAACCAATGGAGCCACACTCCCACTCCTTGTCAGCTGTTCCATCTCTCCCTCAGTCAGACTCCAGCAGAGGCACAACAGTGGTACCTATTTATATTGTTGCATTTGCATGCTTTCGAACTGCTAGGTGGTCAGGAGCTGAGGCAAGATGGGAGCTCACCCCATCCCATGGCACTCGGGCCTTAAACCTTCACTGCTGGCTTTCCAACTGATAAGCCCAGTGTCTTAACCCACCAAGCAAACATGCCACCCCTCTATCACATGGCACACACCTAATACACAGGGCAAAAGCAAATTACAAGTAGTCCTTGTGTTAGGACAGCGATTGCTAGCCTGGTTACTGTCGTAACCACAAGACGTGCAGGTTATTAAGTGGGAAATGGTGGGAATCCCAGGTAAGGCGCAGGCAATACCACAGAATTTATTATTACCTGTTCATTAGCATCCTTTAGCACACCCAATTTGTGGGTGGCACCTCTTTTTGAATTCAGAGATCTTTTGAAGACTAAAACATGTAAACGAAGATGTCCGGTGGAGCTACCTTGGTGAGAAATTAATTTTAATTGCATTCTTCTCCAAGTTTCACCCTCATTAGAATTAGAATTATTTTATTGGCCAAGTGTGATTGGACACACAAGGAATTTGTCTTGGTGCAAATGCTCTCAGTGTACATAAAAGATACATTCGTCAAGAGTCAAGAATCATCAGGCACCACACTTAATGATAGTCATAGGGTACAATAAGCAATCAAATCATACTAGGAAACAATCCATATAAATCGTAAGGATGCAAACAACAAGGTTACAGTCATACAGTCACAAGTAGAAAAGGAGATAGGTAATAGGAGTGATGAGAAGATTAGTAGTAATAGTAGTGTAGACTTTGTAAATAGTTGGACAGTGTTGAGGGAATTATTTGTTTAGCAGAGTGAGGGCGTTCAGACAATAACTGTCCTTGTGTCTAGCTGTTCTGGTGTGCAGCGTCTTATCATGTCTTATGCTGAAAGATCTTATTCAAGATAAACCAGGGCCCTCCAAACTTGGCTCCTTGAAGACTTGTGGACTTCAACTCCCAGAATTCCCCAGCCATCCTGGGGAATTCTGGGAGTTGAAGTCTACAAGTCTTAAAGGAGCCAAGTTTGGAGAGCCCTGTGATAGACAACAAGCTGTTGGGAACTAATTTCTCCGGTCCTCCTACCTACTTCTCTGGTGAACAGAAGGACCGGGGGAGACCTGATAGCAGTCGTCAAGTATTTGAGGGGCTGTCACAGAGAGGAGGAAGGGATCAAGCTATTCTCCAAGGCACCCGAAGGCCAGACAAGGAATGATGGATGGAAACCGAACAAGGAGAGATTCAACCTGGAGATGAGGAGGAACGTCGTAACAGTGAGAACAATCAACACGTGGAACAGAAGTTGCCTTCAGAAGTTGTGGGAGCGCCATCACTTGAGGCTTTCAAGAAGAGACTGGACTGCCCGTCAGTCAGGAATGGTGTAGGGTCTCCTGCTTGGCCAAGAGCGGTGGGGGGTGGACTAGATCAGTGGTCGCCAACCAATGGGCCAGGGATCACTGGTGGTCTGCAAGAAAATTTGGTGGTCCGCAGAGAAATGTCACCCCCAAAGCAATTAATCCAGGCCACGCAGGAACACAAGGCTTGCATCGCATGCATTGCGAACAACACAAGGTAGTGAGGGGAGGAGGGGACGGGTGGAGGGGGAGGAACTTGCCCCACTCACCCCACACGCCTGGCCTGGCCACCGGGCTCCTTCTTTCGCTTCTTTCTTCTTCTGCTTTTGGCTGCAGGCAAGGAAAGCAGCAGAAGTCTTTCTTTCTCTCTCCCAAACTCCGCCAGAAATGACTCTTTGGGACCCTGCAAGGCCTCCTGCCCCAAGAGGCTGCGCCGGCAAAGACTCCTTTCTGGCGGAGTTTGGGGGAGAGAAAGAAAGACTTCTGCGGCTTCTGCTGCTTTCCTTGCACAAAGCCAAAAGTCTCTCTCTCCCCGTCTCTCTTCCCCTGAGAACGGAGCTGGAGACGGTATCCTGCAATCCCAGATAAAGAACGATCGATCGGTAGGAAAACGGGGTGGGGGATTTTACTGCAGACTTTTCTGGGGATTTTCCCAGGATCTCTGGTCCGCGGGAGTTAAAATTTCGAGATTGGTGGTCCCTGAGGTCCAAAAGGTTGGCGACCCCGGGACTAGATGTCCTTACAAGCTCCCTTCCAACTCGTTTCATCTGTCACAATCTATTTCTTCCCCTTTGAGAAGATCGGCTTGACACTTCTCCGCTATTCCTTTGGAAGCCCACCCGGAGTTCTCAAAGATGACCCTTCAGGGTTTTGCAGTAACTTCCACTATAGTTCTTTTCTTTCTTTTTTTTTTTATAAAAGTTTTTATTGTTTTTTGACATACAAACAAACAGACAAAACATAAAAACATCAGCTCCCCCATATTTATATACAAACAGTGAGTCGGTTGGTTCATCAGTTTTGTGCACTCATCTCATAATCACAATTACAATTACCTTATATAATAACTCTTATTGACAATACAAACTTATAAATCATAATATCACTATTAAAAAAAGAAGTTTGACTAAACTTTTATTCGATCATGCCTTTGTGAGATAACTATATTTTAAGTAATTTATTCTAAAACAAATCATATAATCGTGCCAATTCTATCCTAAATAAGAGAAAAAAAAAGAAACAGAAAACTATTATATAAATATAATATCCAGTACCAAAAAAGAGAAAAGAAAAATGAAATCAATATTATTCCTTATTGTCTAACATTTCTATTTTTGTATTTCATCATTCAACCATTGATAGAAAAGATCCCAAACTATATAAAATTGTTTATCTTCTTGCTCTCTGATTTCAAAAGTCAATCTACTCATCTCAGCACATTCCAATATTTTCTTTATGACTTCTTCCTGCAATGGAATTTTCTCATTTTTCCAATTTTTTGCAAATACAATCCTAGCCGCAGTCAATACATTTACAATCAAATATTTCAGCTCTTTACTATAGACATCTGGTAAGATTCCCAATA